GTCCCCCCCCCCTCCACCGCCGGCTTCCCCGGGCTCCGCTGTCCCCTGTGCGGGCCCAGGACCAGCACGGCGAGTCTCCCCTGACTGACTGGAGGAAGATCAGCAGGCTTCCAGCCGCTGATCTCTCCTCCGATCACTGGACCCACAAGTGATGTGTATTACATCACTTCCGGTGTCACTGTGTACATTCCCTGGCTCTCCGAGCCAGGAGGAGACGCTCCGGAAGTAGATCTCTGCTTCCTCACCTTCTTCGGAGTCCCTAGGTGACATTAGGGGTCTGACAGACCCCTGATGTCTTCATAAAGAGGACCTGTCACATTATATTTGCTATTACATTGGGGGATTCTTAGCCCCCTATGTGATAACAATAAAGTTGAGTGTAAAATAAAATTAAAACATGAAAGTAACATAAAAAATGCAAAATATTTTTTTTAAAGACCCCTGCCCCCCACATGCACATACATACGACGTAAACACGCATCGGGTGCGCCTACGTGCAGATACGAAAATTGCGCCACACGCTGCATAACAGTAAAGGATGGACACCGGCACTCCAATGCAAGTTCAGTACATGTTTATTAAGGTACTAGTTACAAGTAGAACACTATATACAACTTTTCGGGGTCTTACAGGATCCCCTTCATCAGGCAAACAAGTTGTTTCACGTACTAAACTTGCTTTGGAGTGCCGGTGTCCATCCTTTACTGATATTTTGTCGGAAGCCACCCGCTGACACCTTCTGTACCCACCCTCCATTTCTGGAGCAGCGGCTCTGAGTGCGTACACGTTACATAACGTTGTGAACGTAAGAGCAATAAGTCTACATCAATCACTGTTCGCACTAAACTAATGAGCAGTAAAAGCTTTTAAAGCGTCGCTATCTATTTACCCGACGTTATCCCGTCTTTTATATTTTACCCAAAAATTGGGCATTATATTATTTTCTGTTTTTAACCTAAAAATATTGGTTTAATAAACATGTATGCAAATACCGTGCGACATTAAAAAATGCAACTAGCATTTTTTTATTCTACAGGGCCTCTGCTTTTAGAAAATATATCATTGTTTGGGGGTCTGAAGCTGTTTTCTAGACAAAAATTCAGATTTTATCATGTGTGTGCAAATGTAAGAAATTGCTCCAGACAGCAAGTGATTAAAGCAGGTTGATGTTAAGCAGCTTAGGAAATGGTCAGATGTGGGTCAGACGGAGGTAGGCTATTGGTCAAATGCACATGTCAATGGTCTCTGTGAATGATCTCTGGAGCATCTCAAGCTGATCTCATTGGCAAGCCACATATGCCCATCGACACAGTCAACACATGCCCTAAAGTTAATCAGCTGGAATGGATTTTCTTGGCCACTCGCTATTTTTTCCCTGACACAGGTCAGCACCCGCAGCGTTCTGTAGCTCCAAGGATACAGACGTGAAAGCTTGCATGTTTGTAGAAAGTTCTTTTTGCTCGATCATTCGTCAGCTGGGTTACGTATGCAAAGCTTGCAGACAACTTAATCCCTTCATGGTCAAGTCAAGAAGCCTAGATGCTCACACCAAATTTATGGGCTTTAATTTGACAATAACGCTGATTATTTTGCATACTTACATTGTTTTTATATTGTTTTAAAAAAAATGTTTAATGCTTTTACAGTAAACTCTCAGTTATTCAACTAACCAGAACTCTCATCCAACAAAAAAACAAAAAAAATCCCACCTGTACTCACTGTTTTGCTGATCTGCGGCATGTATTATCCTGGAAATGATTGTGTGTCTATATGTCTAAATTTGCTTTTGATTACAGTGTTTCAATATTAATATGAAGTCAATACAGTGTTTATGGTATAGTATACTGAGACGCCGCAGCTGAAGCGGATCCCGACAATTATGTCTGGATCCGCCCAGCTGCGTGAGTGACAGCTGGCTCTGCCTATCTAGAGGCAGAGCCAGCTGTACCCGCCCCCTCCCCCGTCCGTGCCGCCAGTCAGCGCTGGAGGATCGGAGGGGGGAATCCAGCCCCTCCCCTGTCACGGCAGAGAGCCGTGACAGGATCGGGAGGTGAGCGAACGCCGGTATGTGTTCGCTCACTTCCTGATCTACTGAGTCGACCTGTGATAGCCTCATTGTCACAGGTCGGCTAGAACTATGAGGTGAGTGAAAAGAACTCACCTCATAGTTCTTCTTTAAATGCTGTAATTCTGTCTAAAACCGTACTTCTTTTTCTGTGCACAAAGAAAGAGAGGCACACAGTGCTATGTTTAGGTGGGTGAGGTTTGTTTGTAAACAGGGCTGCATGTGATGACTATGTTTGGCTGTCACGTCTATCACATGGTCAGAAACCCTACTGATTGGTTCTAGTCTGGGACCTGAGGCTGTCTTTGATGATGCAGTCCCTGAACTTGCTATACGCACCCGTTCATAAAGGTTAATGTTTTCTCAGCATGGGAACTGTGCCTGAGAACATTAATCTACAGATTGTGGATGTCAAGGTGCTATGCATTTCTGCTTGGGTGAACCCAGGGAACCTCTGGGGAGGTTGGATCGCCCACTACACAGTCATTACCCTCGCCAGTATATTATTATTATACAGGATTTATATAGCGCCAACAGTTTGTGCAGCGCTTTACAATATAGGGAAGACATAATTACAATACAATTCAAGACCAGATGGGAAGGAGGGCCCTGCCCCTGAGGGCTTGCAATCTAAGAGGGAGGGGCCAGTGATACATGAGGAGGTAGCTGTGTGGGGATGAATTGCTTGAAAAAGTGATAGTTCAGTGGTTAGGTTCCCTGAAGAGATGAGTCTTTACTGATCGCCTAAAGGCAGTCAGAGTAGGAGATAGAAGGACAGGTTGGGGTAGGGAATTCCAAAGAATCAGAGAGACTCTAGAGAAGTCCTGGAGGCGAGGACTACCGTATCTCCCCTGTTGTAGAATTCTGTATGTCAATGCCCACATTTATCCATGGCCATCTTCAAGCAGCAGCACCTTGGCTTCCATAACATCAAGAGAATATAATACTAGCTTGTGCACGGCAATTTTCAACCAATTTTATCCATTTTGACCAACTTTTCTTTCAATGAATGAACCGATCAATGAAAAAACTCGCAGCCAGCAGTTTATACATCAGTAATGTAGTTGGCTTACCTTTATCCATTGCAGTGTTTGCAGTGCTGAAAGCTGGTTGGAATTCCTGGAAAATTGAAGAGTATAATGTCAGAAAACGAAAGTAATAAAGTTTTGCTACAGGCTATTGAAAGGTGTTGTATTCTATGTTGTTTTCTTAAAGCTGAACTCTAGGCAGATGGTAAAATACACAAATTAATGTCACTCTGCATTCATTAATGAATGCAGAGTATCCTAGGAAGGTGGACGTCTTTTCTTTTTCAAGAGTTTATCGAAAAAGAAGCATACAGATGTCAACATGCAGCAAATTTCGAGTGTAAATACATCAATGTAACAGAAGTGAGTCTGGGCATAGAACAAAGCATATAGAAAATGGCTCCAAGTGCACAGGACCCCAAAGAAGTCAGGGGTTTTATTTGCCCTATTTGTTCTTTTTTCCTACATTTTGTTTTCTTTTAATGAAGACAGTTCTCTACTACATTGCTAGAGCTGGTCAGTTCGCTTGCAGCTATACATTGTGTCCTTCCTCAGCTTGGCATTTAGAGTGCTGCGACTGGACCCCGCTGGACTAGACTTTGCAGGGATAGCCTGGAAGTGACCTTCCGGTACCGGATTCTTCATAAGACTCTTCCAGACTCTGGTTTGGTAGCACAGGCTGTTTCCAGGTTCAGAGCCGCCTGCATTGCCTCAACTCTTGCACGGTCTCCGAAGACTCACTCCATAAACAGGTCAGTCGGGTGGAGTGTAAAGAGCTACCTTCTTTACATTAGTCACTGGGCAACTTTAAATTCCCTGCTTTTCTGCCGGTTTCCACCGAGCAAGGGGTTAAAGCTGTGGGTCTGATTGCTGACATCGTCTGCTGGGTGAAGTGTCATTAATGTGCGTGCTGCACTCTCTTTCCTGCCATAGAGGGTTGAGGAAGCATCTCCTGACTTCTGCTTGCAAAGAACATTGCAGAACTCTGATCTTTGGTCTGTTTCTGTTACTGCTTCCAGTGACTTCGGTCACCTCCAGCCATCTGACCGTCATCTGCTACCAGTTTGGGTTTTGTTAGTGCCTGAGGCCTTGCATCTCACCCCGGGGCTTAAGTAGCCTTACTGCCACACAGTTGCAACATGTCTGATTCTAGACACGGGAAAGCCAGTCCTGCTGCAACGAGTGCCCCCAGCTTACACCGCGGTAATGGCTTTGGGACTGCTTGCGGCATTTCTACTGGTGGTACCGACACTTGCAACCTAGAGTCAAGTTGCCTTCTTTTTTGCCATCAGAGTGGTCTTTAGCTTTGTCATGTGTGGTCGGTTCCTCTGCCATTTCGGCTGAGGTTTTCACTACAATCATGCAACTTTATGGCCCAAATCACTCAGTTATTTGCAGACTCTTACCACAGAGGCCACAATCGCACTCCTGCACTTTTTCCCCTCACAGTCTGTATCTGATGTAACCTGCTAAAGCCATGAGTCAAAGTCATCGGCCACAGAGACCCTGTCTGATTCTGAGTCGCCCCAGTCTTTGCCAGACGAACCTATCCTGGAGGAGTTGTGGCTATCTGCTATTGCTCCTGAATTAGAAGAAACCATCTTGGCTTGCTTATATAACACATAGGGCAAATGGCCGTAGTTTTAAACTTCAGTTGCCGCAGTTTGCTGAAGATTTCCTGACTTTTCTCCCACACATGTCTAAGAAATGGTTGGTATGCATAGTCTTTGACAGACAATGTCTTTTTTTTAATCTACTCTTTTTTTTTTTTTTTCAATGGATGGATGTTTATTCCTGAAATATGTAAACATTTATATATGTACATAGCCACTCACACGATACAGACCTTCTGTACCCAGTCCTGAGTCCTCAATGAAGTCCACACATTTCTTTACAAAGACTGGAATAGGCTTCTCTGGAGTCACCAGGTCCTGAAGGGGCTTGCCAAAATAATTGCTCTCCCAGTTCCGCCGTGTCGGTGGGTTAAAAGGCTTGGTCTTCTTTTTCTTCTTGTCTTCTTTCACTTTAGGTGGCTTCTTCTTTGTTTTTCTTTCATCCGGCTCCTGATCAGAAGTGATTGCTGGATTATCGATACCCCCCTTCCAAGTGTCAACTGGGGAAAGAAGAGGATCTTCTTCACTTGGCCTATGCGTTGGTTTCCACTTTCTATCCTTTCCAACGATTCCAGTGATGGGAAGAGTTTCCTCATCACTGGCATCTGAATGGCTTCGTCGATAGGTATACAATTTTGTCTTGCTGAATAGTGTCTTTGACCTGTACTTATATTTTGATGGCCTTCTCTCTCCCTGGCCTCTCGGTCGATCAGAAATACCGTTTTCTTCATCTCCTTTTGCATTGGGGAATAAATGGGGCATTTTTAAGTGGTGGTTTTGACTGTCATCAGGTACTGCGTAGATGTCATTGATAAAATCTTTGGATTTGAATAGTGTGTCAACCGGCTCTGCGTAGTTTTCAGATGAATCAGCATCTTCTGGGTGCACCAAAGGAAAGCGAGAAGTTTGCTTTCTTGGGTTTTTACTAATACCAGCTTCAATAGTTTTCACAAGATTTGGGTCTAGCCTATTTACTTTTGACTTGGGTCCAGCTGGCTTGGGTCTTATTGGGGGAGGCACTTTATGGTTGCGCTCATGATCGTGGCAATTTAACGGAGTGCTATGTGTGGGATACTCATTCCCTTCATTATCCAAATTACACTTTGGCAGCAGTTGCACATCGTCCCCAATGGGACTGTATGGAGGGGGGGCTTCCGAGTCATCCTCAGAATCTGGGTAGCAACTGTATGCTGGCGAGTTTCCACGGGGTGAATGAAGAAAAACATCCTCACAAGGCTGACCTGGCTCCCTACTGCTTTCTGCCAAATAAGAATTTTCAATGGAAGTCTTCTTTTCCAAAACATCACTGAAGAATGGTGTGAAAACCTCTGTCTGACGATGATACTGAGACAGTGAATATAAAGCTGTGAACTTTGCAGAAATTTCAGTGGCAATGTGCTCTCCTTCAGTCATCAATTCTTTAATGGCTTCATTCTCAAAGAAGTCTGCTTGGCTGTCTGTTACAGCTACCAACTGAACAGGAATACTGTCCTGGACTTCTGAAAGAAAAGCACGAAGCATTCCCATAGATGCTTTTCGTTTTGCTGAATAAATTAGAATATACCCATGGACAAGCTCATCTTTTCGAATACCAATAGAAGAATGGTATGACAAAATGGTTATCTGAATCCGCCTTCGTTTTTCACCAATGATTTTATCAAGCATCAGAGAATTATTTTGGCCAGGCTGGGCAGCACTGCAAGTGCGGGATTCTAAAAAGGGAGAAAGAATAAGATCCACGCTGAATGGATCCCCACACATGGCACACATTACAATTCTTAAGTCTGCTTCTGAAAGGTCTTTAATAGCCGGAACAGGGCTTGCAATATCTGAATTGTGCTTAATAGATTCTAGTACTCCCCTAAGAGCTTGCTTTATTTGAGCTTCGTTAAATTTACGTGGGAATGTGCCAGCAGGTATATCCACAAAATGGCACTGGAGTTTATTTGCCAGCTGCTGTCCTTGATGTCTCAAGATTGGCAGGTTTTTGCTGCCACTATCTCTCTGGTTGGCTAAAATTAATGTGAATGGAAGGCTTGCAAAATCCTTATCTCTTCTTGCCTGGGCCTCGCATCTAATTTTGCCAATACAGTCACCTATAAAATTAAGTGACTCAATAGAGCTAAACACACAGAAACACCCATGTGGCTTAAATCCAGTCCATAACTGGCTAAAAAGATAAGGAGAGTTAGCATCCACTGCTCTCAAATCTAATTCATAAATTTTTCCATCTAGTGCAAACTCATCATCTGTTGACTGGGTCCTTATTTCATTGGCCATCTCTTGAGCCAGACTGTCTTTCCCAAGAATTAGTAGGTTAACTTTGTCGAGGTTAGTACCATCTTGATACATGTTCAGACGGCCAAGATTTGATTGCAAGAGACTGTTGGCAAGAACTTGTTCCACTTTAATGTCCATACAGCTTTGGACACTAAGACAAGTCTCCTTGGTAGGGTGATAAACAAATCCTATGTGTTTAAGAAGAAGAGATTCTCTGTCAGTTGCAAGCTTTTGCAAAGCTTTATATCTAGGTTCTTCTCCAAGGACCGCATTAATTTCACTCATTTTATCAGTGCTTGGTGTAGCATTAAGATCTAGGTCATAAAACAACTCAGAGTGCTCAAAAAGCATCTCTTGAAATTCCTCTTTGGCTTTTTCTATAATTTCCCGCTGGTGCTTGCGGTATACCACTATACAATCGGCCTCACTGATGAACTTGTAAGCTTCATCGTCGAAAACAAAACCTATAACCTCCTCCCATGGCTGACCAGGGGAAATAAACAGTTTCTTTTCAAGTGTTTTTTTGAATTTCTCTTTAATTTCTAATCTCTTCTTTTCAGAAACCAAGTTTTGGACATGGTTTTGATAGACTCTCTCAGCCTCTAACGTGCAGAGAAGATCAAAAGGAATCCTTCTGTCATTTACATTGTCAATGTGATCTGACTGGTCCCAAGGAGTCTTTTCCAGCATTATAAACCAAAGGCTGAAGTCAGGTCTCTTCTCTAGAAGCCGAAGAGCTTCTGCCCAGTTTAAATCTTCTATCTCCTCAAGTTTTGGCAGCAGTGTATTGAGTGTTCTTGGTAGTGTTTTTAAGTACTCCTCCTTCCTTTTTCGAATGTGTTCCTGTTTTAGCTGTTCTATGTGCTTGGAGAATGTATTCTTTGCTTTCATGGTTCCCTCTAAGTTAATATAATTTTCATAATCTGAGTGGTTTTTTAATTTATTACTAACAGTTTTCCAAGTTGCATGGTAATCACGCACTGTTTGTACAATAAGTTTTTCAAATTTATCAGTAGCAGAGGCAACAATCTGCCTATGCGTTTTAAATGCATCCAGGTAAGGAATGATCTTGGGTTTACTTCGCGTTTTGTCCAGCATTTGAAATAGTGCTGTGAAACAGGTCTCAACATTTATATTGTATCTGGCGGAGGTTTCTACAACAATTAGGTTTTTCTTGTTTGAAGCAAAGCCTTGAACTTCTCTCAAATAGTGGTCGACACACTCATCACACTTGGTTGCTGCAATGATAATAGGCTTCTTTGCTTTTACTACTTGCACGTAGAGGTTATTGATGAACTTTAACTGGTCGTCAAATTTTCGACTGCATCCTTGGCTAACGTCAATGCATAGAACAAAGCCATCTATAGTCAGCTTTCCTTCTGGCATTTGCTTTTGCTCAAAGTCCTGCTCCAGGCCAAGTTGGTCTGTGCAAATATACATTAGTTTCTCCGCTGACTGAATCTTTGAAGCTGCTGCCCTCTTTATGTAGGGCTGAAGGTTTGTACTTCGATGTGGAAGGAAAGTCTGATCATCTATGAACTCTGTCTGTTCAATAATATGATGTTTGCAATCAACTCCATCTTCACCTATCTGTATTACGTCACCCCAATACAAAAAGTGGTCATTGTTAACGACACGTCCGCCAAAATCGATTGTGCTAAGAACAGAGGTGTGTTCATGGTGATATTCATCAGCCGTTGGGCGGACATATCGGTTACATAAGCACGACTTCCCAACACCGCAGTTTCCTTTATCCTTCTCAGTTCCAGACAATCCTACTGTATAACACTAATAGTATATGATGGGGGACGCGGCTCCTTATTCTTTGCCATCATCACTCCCCTCTCATCCTTCTGAGCACATTTAGACAGGTGGGCATACTTTTCATTCTCAGTTTTATAATGAGGACTTTATATACGGTCAAATACAGAGGTACGGTCTTGCTGCATTTTTCATGTTCTCCATCGAACCCATGTATCCTTAAACATGACAGCAAATGGCACACCTGTCTCCGGGGCACACTCCAGCCGCCGCTTCTTGTCAGTGGCGCTATCCCCTCCCGGTATTCGGTCACCTCTCTCTTCCCCTTCTGCCGCCGCTCTCTCTCCCTACAGCTTCTTCTCAATTCAGTAATGGCGGCCTTTTTTAATCTACTCTTGATACCAATACTAAGGATCTTACTGGTGGCAAGAGCCCCCATCTTTCTCAGGATGAAGCCTAGGAAACACTGCAAAAATTATCCTTCCTTATCTGTTGAGAAACATCCCCTTTTGTTTCTTCACTCCTGATGCTTCCACATTGAGAGCTCCCAGTCCACCCACAAGGTCTGGTGTTCAAACCTTTCTTTGCAGAGTGGAGGGGAAGGCATACCTTTGTGGACACCTGGACAGTTTGCTTCTCAGATGCTTGGGTGGAGGAGGTGGCATCCCAGGGCTACAAACTGGAGTTTTGTTCCCTGCCCCATCCTTGATTTCTTATCCTTAACCTTCTTGTGTCACCTCACAGGTTAGCAGATTTCCATCAAGCCCTGTCTGATCTTCTGGGCCAAGGTGTCTTTGCCCCAGTTCCTGTAAATGAGAGTCACTCAAATTCTACTTCTTTTTTTATAATTTTTGTACTTGCTGAAAACGTTCTTGACCTGAAAAATGATAGGAATGCAGCCACCACATCTAAGGACATGCATGTAGAACTGTCTCATCCGTTTCATGTTGCTTTATAGCTATAGCCACCAAGCTATGGGGTATATTTAGGAATGGTAATTTACATTCACAAAAATAAAACTGAGCTTGTGCTTTTCAACCTTCATTTAGACTTAAAGTGTTCTTTCTTCCTCTTTTCTCTTCCCTCTTCCTGCCTATATATTCCATTCGTTCCTCTTTATCTGACCACAGAGGGTGTTGACTGTGTCTCCCTATGACTGTGGAAGGTACAAATGCCTGAGCATGCATTGTTATAGAAACTCTGTTCTATATTGTTCGGTGACTGTACATGTATGGTTAACTGCAGCATGCTGAACACAACCAAGGCCAGTTTGCATGTAAGTTTGTCACTTAACATAACTTCAATACGATCAAAGAAACAGCAGGTTCTTTTGTGGAAAACAGGCACCCAGTTGAATACCTGTAAGACCTATTGGATTAGATACCTAGTGTTTACTGTCTGTGTTAATAGTAGTTAAAAGTCCAGCCATTGGTGCATTCTATAGGATGGTGCCTTGTACAAGCATGAGTAGCCAAGGTCACCTATGAAGCTTTTTAGTACTACCTGAATATCACGTCACCAGAACACACTCAAAAATGCCCAAAACGTGGTACTTCTCTTTTTCTGTCCCGAAACGCTTAAAGGGTCAGTACATCAAGTCCAATAGGTTGGACTTGATGGACTTATGTCTTTATTCAACCTCAAATACTATGTAACTATGTAAATATGATCATTCGAAGAACTGAACTCAAAGTGAAAATTTGCTATAGTATAGTTAACATCTAGAAGTGTTAATTGTGCCAAAGTAGTATCCAGTAAAATGTACCTATTGTCTGGAATACCTCCCGAACAATAGCAGTGCACTTCCTGGTATGTGAGAGTGCCTAAGCACTCCTGTGCCTACATTGTTATAGCTGTACAGTATATCTGCAATGTGATATCTAAGGTACTGCTGCCTCTGGCTGATAGTCTCAGGAGATTTGGAGTGAGATTTGGTGACATCACAGTCACTACTATGGCAGACCACAGGCGATATTATTAATATCATTATTATTATACATGATTTATATAACACCAACAGTTTGCACAGCACTTTACACTATAAAGAAGACAGTTACAGTACCATTCAAGACAAGATGGTTAGGAGATACTAGTGACCTTTGCCCTTAATTTTTCTTTTTTGCGGCTTCAGCTTCCAGAGTTCTGTTCCTTTTGGGTAGACGCTGGACAGGTTCTGGGAACTTTATTGGTGTAATTTCTGCTCTTGACTTGCTGATATGTGCGCCTGCTTTGCCAGTTTTTAACAGTTTTATTTATTTTATATACTGGAGAATGTAACAGGAGGAGCTGAAACACACAGATGTAGGTGAGAACTCCCAAGTGGACCAGAACAGAATAATGTTAGGGAGATCTCAGGGTTGGGAGTATCCAAGACATAAAAGAAGCCAGGGCCTCACTCACAGCAGCGCCTAACTTTTAACCATAATATTGTTTTTGGCCATAGTGGCCCCAGTGATTCATGGCCTTCACGCAGGGCCTTGGAGGCTAATTTTAGCAATTTGTTTTGGACAGATTTTGACCACTGTTGGCTGAATTTATTTCTTTGATATTCACTCATTCAATATAGGCTGCCCCAAAGTATGGCTTTTGATTACAACGGAAATTGACTCAGAAGGTATTTGTCACATTTCTCCAAAGAAAAGAGAATCTCTGACCCTTGGTGAATGGACTGATTTTATTAATAAAACATCTTTCCTTGTACAAAACATCTGTCGTGAATAGAATGTCCCTGAAAATGTAAAAATATAGGTTAAATAATGGACACTTTGCACACGATAAACCTGAAAGACTATAGTGATGCTTTACAGAAGATGTAGCCTGGCAGCACTACCCAATGCACTCTCTGCAATGCTAAAAGGATTATTCTATTTATCATTTATAACATGTTACCAATACTGAACTTTGATTCCTAATGCGCTAAGAGCCCAGAAGAAGGGAAAACAAAATGGTTGTTGTGTTTTAAATGTTTTTTGTTGTGTTGCTTGTATACATAAAATCAATTAGAAAAAACTCTTAAAAAAAGAAAAAAGTAGCATGCATTACTGCATGTGATTTATTGCACTGTATGTGGAAGAAGGTTACAGTGATGTGAACGCAGGGTCTGTAATACTGCAATGCTTACATCCTTAACGTGGCTACATTATGATTTCTGTAATGCAACTTATTTCATTTGTGCAGGTCCAGTCATGTGATCTCTCCGGAAAGGATGACATTAACAAATTGAAGAGAGAAAGAGATGAGGCACGTGCCCAGTTAAAAACTGTGAAAGTAAGTGAGGAATACTGCAGTGGGGTTCTAGCTGACTTTATCTACCGGTTCTTTTCAAAGTGGAACTCTTTCCCATGGGTGCAGAGGGTTAAATTGCTCTTGGGTCACTGAGGTCAGAGGGCCAGCTATAACTATAACTTCTGAGTTATTTATCAGTAAAAGCCTCCCTTGTGCAGACACCAGGAAGTCCTAAGATAGTTGCTGGGTGCTGCCATCTTGGATGTGATCTCAGCAGACTCGGAGCTGTCACTGAAGTACACTTTCAGAAGAGGAGAGGCCTATGACATGGAGGGAGGGGGGGTGACAAATAATTGAGTTTTCTAAAGTATTCAGATTTGCTAGGACGTTCAGAGGCACAATGCAAGGGAATTTAAAAAAAATAATTTATGGAACAGAATAATACTGAAAGCAGGGGTGTCCCTAGCATAATTGCTGCCTGAAGCAGGAAAGGTGAGTCATGTGTGCTGGTGCCAGAGCCCTGGTGGTGTACAGGCCAGCTCTGGTCGGCATCCCACCCAGCTCCTGGAAGTCACTGGTTGCCCGGAGCTGGGCAGGATGTCGGCCAAAGCATCCCAAGTGCTGGGAGGGGAGATGCATATGGCCCTTACACAATGTGATAGCAATATGCACGCGCGCCTTTATGTAACGCGTCGGGTGTATGAAAACGACGAACGTGCTACACATGTTGATTATCGCCGCGAATGCCGGAGGGAGAGCAATAATTCTAGGGCCAGTATTTTTGGGTATCTCTAAACTGATGACCTGTGGGTGCTTTTAAAGCGTTATCTATGGACTTTTAGGGGTGCTGAATTTTTTTCACCGTTATACGGACGCACGCAATTTTTAACCTGGGCATGTTGGGTATCTATTTACTCATTGTAACCTCATCTTTTATATTTTATTTACAAAAGGGGTATTTTATTGTGCTTTGGGGCATTTAAGTAAATTTTTCACAAAATGTTGGTGTTTGATAATAAGTTGCGCTAATATCGTGCAACATAAAAATCTGCAACTGCCACCATGTTATTCTATAGGGTCTTGGCTTTCAGAAAATATATAATGTTTGGAGGTTTTAAGTAATTTTCAGGCCTAAAATGTGGAAAATACCATGGGTGCAAAAAAAAGGCCTCAGTCATGAAGGGGTTAAAGAGAATGTATATTTGTTTTGTAAATATGTTCTTATTTATATTAGGGACTAAAATAAAAGATTCTTATTTTTAGTAAGGCAAATAGAAAATGTTATATTGATATTAGTATGTAGTTTGCTTTTGAGATATCATGAGTCTTTCCAGATGTTTAATAATTTGTTTAATAGTTTCCTTGCCTTCTGCTGTAATATCGCCTGTTTACAGAGTTCAATAGTTCAAGCTAAAATGTACACACACATAAACGAGTCAGTGCAGTGACTTATGACTTATTGGTCATCTTTGGTATCAGTTAGGGCCAGCCTGCCAGAAAGGAAGCAACTGCTTTTCTGCCTTTTTAGCTTACCCGTAATATTTTTTTAAATGATGTATTCTTAAAAGGTTTTATACATAGAATAAACAAAAAGTTATAAGATGTTTAAATATGTAAAAATGCAATAAAAATAACATTTACCTAACGCCATTATTGTGTCCATTAGGGATGCACCGATACCGATACTAACGTGGTATCCATGCACCCCCGGTCTCATTTCACCATGAGCCGCACACCAGCCTTCAATCTTCAATTGACTTGGGGTCACAGGAGGACATTGGTAAATATCCTCCTGTGACCCAAAAGAGGACTACATTTTTCTTTTTAAAGTTGGCTGTAGTTCTCTTTTAAGGACTGCATCAATCCAGTTGTGGTTGGTTTATCTGTAAAATATACACATGCGGTTTAGGTAATAAAGCTTGCTTTTCTTTTTTTTTCTTTTTTCTTTTTATTTCCCGTTTTTTTTTTCTTTCTGAGTAGACAGTGAAGGTGAGCAATGTTACAATAGAACTGGCAGACTGTCTAGGTGGTTGTTTGGCTCGCTTGTTAGATTTGAAAAAGCATGAAAAACAAAGTCACAGAGTGGCAATAGGAAAAAAAAGAAACGCATTTGAAAAATGAGAAATCGTTCATGAAAAATGGTGTGCGGTTCAAGGTAGAATTTGTCATAAAAGCAGTTTATTTATAGTTTGGTTGTTTCATTTGAGCCTCACAATGGCTTAGAATTAGATTTTAGAACAGACAGAAAATGCCACGCAGATCACTTTTCATGCGATTGACGTTAACATAAACTTTCCACTAAGCTACAGAGAACAATCTACAGTCATGGTCAAAATATCTGCATTTCTGTCAGATAATGCACCACTTTGCGCAGAAAAACCTTGCCATTAGAAATGTTTTAGGCGTTCTCATGTTTAGTATTACCTAACTGCAGCAAGACCTGTTAGTATTACCTAACTGCAGCAGAGAAAACAGGGATGTGCCAATCTCAGGGCTGGCTGACCAGAAATAAAATCCTTCAAAGGAGAACTATGGTGTAAGTGTTTTTCCCCATAGTTCTCCTCAGGGTCACAGGAGGACATAAACTAGCGTCCTTCCGTGACCCAAAGCTCAGTGCTCGCGGTATACTGAGAACGCCGCAGCCGGGACGGATCCCGACATTACTGTCAAGATCCATCCAGCTGCGTGATTGACAGCTGGCTCTGCCTATCCAGAGGCTGAGCCAGCTGTTCCCGCCCCCTCCACTGTTCGTTCCTTCAGTCAGCGCTGGAGGATCGGAGGGTGGACTGAATCACTGCAGGGAGCCAGTCATGAGTGACAGTCATGGCTCTCTGCAGGGAGATGATCGAGAAGTAAGCGAGCGACTGTATGTGTTCACTCACTTCCCGATTAATTGAGCCGACATGTGACAGTTTCATTGTCACAGGTCGGCTCGAACTATGAGGTGAGTGATTTTTCACTTGCTTCATAGTTCTCCTTTAACAGGTAAAATAACTCCTTTTATATGTAATTCATCTGCATATTTATCAGTCTGCTTGGAGTCAGCTTTAGATCCTGTCTAGCTGATCACTTATTTGCTCAAGGTTGAACTGACCCTCATTGCAGATGTTCTAGGTTAAATTGGCGTTTTTCCTTCAGAACTACATTTATTTCTGTATTATCTGTATTAAAAGGAGTGATCGTTTATGTTGCCATCAGACGAGTATTGCAGCATTTTTTTCTTCTTCTTGTTTTAATGATTGAATCAGGTCATATTTTTCTATTTTCTTGGTTTAAAACCAAGCAAGAAGCACTACAATGGAAAGGTAATAGCATTATGAAACTATAAAGGTACATTGCAGTTAAAATTAAAACCTTGATATGACATACCGGGGGCACACCCTACCTGCTCAGTAGTTATGGTAGTGTGTTGGTCCATACCAGTCCCTTTTGTTGGCAGTGCAATGATCCAACACCCCCTCCTAATGGTGAAGGAGAGCTGTTTCTGAGCGCACTGAAGGTGGGTCTCATAGATGCATAGAAGTTTATTTTAGCCGCCAATCAAATTTAAACTTGCCTTGGTGTATGTATGTGACTGGTAAGGCAGAAAGCAGAAAGATACAGGCAGTTGCACAGAATAGGCTTTAGGCATATACACGTCCAGTAATCTGTGACAGGTTACACTATTGGCTGGATGTTGAGCTATATGGAGAACATTTAGGCTAGGTCAGGTTCACTTAAAACTTATTTACAGTAAACCAAAAAAACAGACTTTTAATATATTGTAGCTTGTTAATCCTCAAATGTTGTGGCTGCATTAGTTTTCTTTTTTTGGACTCTTTTTTTCCTTTTATTTTCACCTGGTGATCTGGCCAGTAACACACTTCCTGTCTTAGGGTGGCCTCACTCTATGGAGTAGCAATGGAGCCCCCCTTGGAAAGCAGCAATGTCACCTTGTGGGGAGGGTGGTGTTAGATAGACTAACAGATTCAGATGAACTTGACGAATCTGAACTCCAGATAACACGTTTTAAGTTTTTTTCCTTTTGTGATAAAGTTTTTACCTAAATGACTTAAAGCTGACCATTGTAAGCACCCCTGTCAGTGTTCAGTGGTTTGTCTCAACCCTCTATATGCAATGTTTGCTGGACAGCTTGGTCTGTTGAAGGAAGTTGAGAAATAATAGACTTGGGACTTGTTTATATGGGTGCCAAAGGGTCTGCAAAACCAGAAGGTTGATCTGCGATTTTCCCTCCACCGGGTGGCCTGCTGAAATGCCAGAACATCAGCCCAACAGTGCTGCATACATGGCCGCGTTGTTTTGTGTTGTGTCTACACAAAATATACAGCATGTCATGCTTGGCAGACAGCGCCACTTGTAGAATAGAAAAATAGATTTTCTGCAGCCCCTGTTATGAATGAACAGGAAGCCTCTATACTGAGTGCTCCTGTGCATTTCTAAACAAAGGAGATAGTATCAGTTACTATGTCCACAATCACGAATGAACAGGAAGTGATGTAGGGCATTTCCTTTTCAATCATAACCATTGATAATCATTCCTTTTTATTCATAAGCTTGCTATGTCCTCAGTTATTTACAAAGACTCAGATCAGTACTAATCGCTGAGTTTTTGTACTCCACTCCTCAGAGGACACGCCTCCTTCCTCAGAACCCTGAGGAAGGAGGCGTGTCCTCTGAAACCCATCAACCAGGGGGGACATACAGCTTGTCGGCTGTGCCGGATGATCACGATCTTAGTGTTTTGTTTGCTGACTTACATTTTATGCTTGCTTATCCCATCTGTTTGTGAGTATATTTTTAACCTTTTATACACTGAGTGGCCAGATTATTATGACCACCTGACGTTTGTAGGCAAAGTAGCTATAATTTTGCGCTGAAGTTGCTAGCGGGCCAGAACATTATAAATAGGGAAGCAGGTTGTTTACCACGACAGTAGAAGTGATTTTTTTTCTGAAGATACGGGGAAACAACGCGATTTAACAGCCTTTGAACGTGGGATGATTGTTAAATGATCAAGAGCAGCTGTTGTTAAAGTGTTTAAAGACTGGACTGTCAGCCGAAAATCTGGGTCTGAATGTGCAAATTGTGGCCGCCAGCGGCTAGTCAATGTTAGGGCAGAACGGAGAGTGGCAAGACTGGTACAAGACAACAGAAGGGCAACAGTGCAGTGTCAGATTCCTCGCATCACCTTTCAACATCTCGTGAAGTCACGAGGCGGCCCAACGAAGCCATATCATTTGTTTGTGAAATCCTGAGAGTTCTGTATGTGGTGTTGTGTATTTCCAACCAAAGGGGCAAGGGCTCTGGCTAAGTATTTTGCCATGTTCTAAGTCACAGAGTTTATGCTGCTGACAATTGGATGAATGAGAACCTTCACAGACATATTGCGACACATTTTGGGGAGAAAACCCTTAAACTTGTACGAGGATATGGAAAGACTGCAAGAAAATTGGCAGACTACAGGTGAAACTCGAATAATTAGAATATCGTGCAAAAGTAATTGCAGTAATTGCTGCAAAAGGGGCCCAAACCAAGTACTGAGTACATATGCATGCTTGTACTTTTCAGAGGTCCGATATTGTTCTATGTACAATCCTTGTTTTATTGATTGCATGTAATAATCTACTTTTCTGAGGTTGTGGATTTGGGGTACTTGGGGTTTTCATGAGCTGTAAGCCATAATCATCACAATTATGACAAATCACGGGTTGAGTTATCTTGCTTTGCATGTAATGAGTCTATCTCATATATTAGTTTCACCTTTTAAGTTGCATTAGTGAAATAAATGAACTTTTGCACGATATTCTAATTATTCGAGTTTCACCTGTATAGAAACCACCTACGCTTTAACCTCGGATGCCGACAACAGGGGGTTGGTACCTTGCAGCATACGTTTGGACTCCACAGTAAAGCCAAGCTGATACTACATAAGGCCCAGAAACAATTGCTAAATGAACATGTACGGCGGACCTATTTCACAGTTGATGCCTTAAAACATACTATCAATCAACTAGAAGAGAGCCTGATTTTTCAGCTACCTGCTGATATTTGGAGGACAGTAACAGACTTCACGGTACCTGCACAGCTAGCTCATCACACTCTCTCTGGGCAGGTTAATAACTCCTCCTAGACTCCAATTATGCCAATGCAATCACCACCTGGTTGCAAATACCATATTATGTGGATTGGAGCAACATTCACCATATTTATTCCCAGATACATTTTTTGTCATTCTGAATTGAGAAAGCTGGTCGGATGACCAGTGAAACGTCTTCAAGAAAAATACAGCAAGTCCAGTTGCCTTGACTTATTTTTTACAGATAGTAAATAGATCTGGAAAGTGGATGGATATTTGAACAGCGGATGAGTGTATCACAGGCTGTCATCCTATATTAGTGCTCCAGTAGCAAGATATCCTTACCAGAATTCCCAGCTATGCCCCATGGCCAATATCATTATTTGTGGTGTCACACGGCCTCATTGGGTTCTTTATAATGTAGAAAAAAAAAGGGAACGTCAGCTGAACGAGACACAAATGACTGTGTTTATGTCTCACCATTGGAAACCTTAAGAGATCTTAGAAGAAGTAGGAGCGATTTAACCCTTCACTGGCCATCCATAAGGGAAATATCAGTTTTGATCAGAGTTTGAATTAAAGCAACCCTGTCTGGTAGATAAAATTCAATCAAATGAAGTGCACTTATCCTTTAAGGAAACCCCCACCATATATGATTACAAATCCACGTGAGTGGGTTTTCTGCTTTATTGGTAAAAACCCTTTAAAATTACCCTAGGAGTACTTTTGTTTTGTTTCAGTGTTATGTGTAATGGAACATTTTCTATTTCTTTCCAGGAACAACTCTTGGAATCTGAAAAACAGAATGGACAGCTTTCTGTGGAGCTTACGAGTGTAAAGCAGGTGGGTAAGCGGTTGTGAGTTTCTGTATAATTATGGCTGTCTTCAGCAGCACTGTGGAGCTGGGGCAGAATTTGGCACAGTGCTTGAGTAAGGTGTCCCTGATATTTAAAAGCTCTTCATTAAAAACATATGTTCACTTTTATAAGTGTGGTTCACCTAAAACATATGCTATATGGCTAAATCTTTATTTGTGAAAACTCAACAAGATGAGAAAGCCAACGTGTTTCAGGTGTTGACGTACTCCCTGTTCATCAGGGCTTTTGAGCTATGCTTCTATAGGAATGCCTGGACTAAAAAGGGTATAAAAGCATTTATAGATATACTATCAAATATTTGCACCAGCAGGTAATGCGGCGTGAAGCTCTGGGTGTCACTCTGGAGGAGTGGGCATTCCTAGGCAGATGGCCTTTGAATGCAGACCACCCTGGGTAATGCTCACAGTTGGGCCTAGATAATGGTGGACATCCTCCAATCAGGAAAGGAGGTGGGCTCTATCTGATTTGCAGCATCTAATGTACACTGTGCAGTGAAATCAGAGTAAGCAATTTTAAAACAGCAGAGGAGCCTGCACACCTTTATAAGACTGAAGGTAAGGCTGAAGTTCATCTTTATGGTCCCATTCACACCATATCCAGATCATCTCCAGACCAGAAAAATACCGCATTGTCTCATTTTGTCTGGTCTGGAATGCACTGGAACTAATGGGCAGGTTCACACCATTTTCTGGACCAGATCTGGTCCGGAAAATGGTTTGAACCTGCCCCAACAGCCAATGCCCTTCTGGGAAGGCTTTTTTCACAGTGTGTCTTTGGGAACTTGTGCCCATCCAGCCAACAGAGCCTTTTTAAGGTCAGGTTATGATGCGGGACAAGACTTGGCTCACAAGCTGCATTCCAATTCATCCCAGAGGTGTTCAAGGTGTTTGAGGTCGGGGCCTTGTTCAGGCCTCTTGAGTACCTCCACACCAAACCATATCCTTATATGCCGTAGTATTAATGGTACCCTTCACTGGAAACACCTGATCTCAGTAATTTAGAGGGGTGTCCACGTATTTGTGGCCATCTTTTTTTTGTCCCTCAGTTTTTTAAAGGCTGTAACAGTTGATCTGTACAAATGTGTACAAGACACAGTGGGGTTGATTTACTAAAATAATTAAGACTGTTCACTTTGCAATGTGTGCAGTGAATGAGGTGAGGTGAGGTACACGTCCATCACCAATCGGGTCCTCTCTCCTCTTGTTTTTTTTTTTGTGTGTGTGTCACGCTGATGGGTCCTGGGCGTCTCCTTGGCCAGCTACTAGTTTGAGCAGCACGCCTTGATTTCAAAGACGTGGGTGGAACCTATGTAAACGCGCTAGTTAGTGTTCTATTGTTATGATTACTCGATCATAGATCGCGCATTCGCGATCGGCTCTTTCCCCCCCCCCACATATTAGGCATTATGACCCGCCATACACACAGCGTTTTCACCGGTGGGCGGGATCTGCCTCTACATATTCTTTGGTTAATCAAGACGTGGGGATTGCTATGGGGACCTCGGCGGCTGGACGCCGCGGCACGTCAGCGGTGTCCGATCTTTTTTGTTGAGGTATTTTCTACCCTTTTACCATTCCTAATCCATCGGTAGTATTGGCTGGGATGTTTTCTCACATGGGTCTATGTGTATAGTCAGCATTCAGCTGTGTATCGTTTCCAATTTGGTGGGCGTGACGTCATCATGACATCAATGAGCATTCTGACTGGTTGATTCAATTTTATCTGTTTGTCTATATAATGTGGTGTGATTTTGAACGTTATCTCATTGCTGAGCCTGATGAATGGGATCCTGCGTGGCCCCGAAAGCGCTAGTTCTGCTTACATGATGTTCCAATAAACGAACACTTTTGGACTTCAACACTATTGGTGTGCTGGTGACATCCATTTAGTTTGTACTGTTTGGCAGCACCATCCGTGGTCACTGCGAGCGCCCCCCCCCCCATCCATGATGTCAGTCATTTTGGTGTCACCCTGATGCGGGCCGCACCCCCCTTGTGACGCCACTGAACTATAATATTTTAGTAACTCAACCCCAGTGGCTACTGGAATCACTAAAGCAGGGCTTTAAAAAAAAAAAATAGCCAATTGGCAGTTGAGACAAATGCAGAGCCTGTTCCACTTTTCCTGAATCTTTTCAGGTTTTGTGAAAAGCAACTTGAAAACGAAGGAATGAAACTGCAAGCAGCGTTTTAAAAGATCGATTAAACGGGAATTACAGAAGGTTACAGTAAAATAACCGGTACTTTCTTCTGCCTTTTGTGAAGAAATTCTTTGTCCTTGTATCCTTTAGAATAGAAGATGTTTCTATTTTTCAGATTGTAAATCTTCTGTTTCTATTCTACAAACAAGAGCTGTAGTGGCATTAAGGCCCCGTTCACATATAGCGACATACCTTTTGCAGCAGATCCGCACGGCCGGGATAGCGCGACTTTCGGGGCGACGTTCCAGCGACGATCCAGCGACGGTAGCGCGACCTTCCCCGTCGGGCTCCATAGAAAAAAAGTAAAATCGCGCAAAATCCGCCGAAAAAAGGGTCCGGTAGAAGCGACTTGCGACCGCGACGAGCGACGCGCGACATGGAGTTAAGACAGCTCCATTGAATAACATTGGCCGGCGACTTCTCGCGATATCGCGCGGCAAAAATGCGCGATATCGCGGCGGAAATCGCGCGACAATTCGCTATATGTGAACGGGGCCTTAGCCTTTCTTCCGTATTTCGTACTTTATTTTTTTCTTGTATAGAGTCATTTAAAGTTCACCTTTTTTACCTTTTTTTTTTTTTTCACGCCCACCCATTGAACAAAATGCTCTGTGTGGATGACAATAAAAAAGCCTGTGGGAAAAAGTTGGTAACTATACTAATCTTACCCTTGGCTTTTGTACTGCAAGGGGTGACGCGACCATCCTTTTCGGTAAAGTTTCCAGGAATGCTGAGTATCCAATATCTTGCTGTAAGATGCTCTTGCACTGCGACAGTCAAGATACCCTCACCTAACGCTGCGGGCAAAAGCTGGGGTAAGGTAAGCCCCACAGGCTTCCTTTTAATCTTTTTACAAGGTTTCGCAATGGGGGAGGCCCTGAAAAAAAGACAACCTTGTGTTTTTGGTGCAAGGCTGGCAGTAAAGTGAAACTTGAGGCACAGTTTTTTCTTTTTTTTTCTTGGCCATGTATATAAAAGATACCTTTCCTGAGGTATATTACACAGAACACCTGTAATTTGTGAATGGTTCACAGAATACAGGGTGTACGGTGAATGGACAAAGGGTGGGGAGGAGATGGGGCAGATAAAGGAGCTTTCAGTGGCAGCAGGTCAGAACTACAGTGGGAGCTGTAGCATCCGGTATAAACAAAATTGGTTATTTTAATGGCTACAATGGGATAGATCTCAGGAGAGGTAATTTTTGTATACACGCCTGAAATTTAAAAAACAAAAAAACAAAAAACTGTGCTTTAATTCTGCATTCAAGAGGAAAGGAAATTCAATGAATAACTGAACATGGAAAGAAGATCGAATGATACTGCAGGTATAAATAAACAATTCCACTGCCATTATGTATTTTTTCCTGGGGGTGGAGAGTGTGCCACATGATAAATGCACATTTTAGGTCTAAAGATTACTTGAACTAACCCCCCCCCACCCCCCCAAAAAATTGTAGATTTTCTGAAAGCAGAGACCAGGAAAAATAAAAAAAAAACTGACCCAAAATGTCAGTAATTCCAGTAATTCAAATTAATTTGTGCACAAAAACACAATATAATCCCCATTTTTTTGATAAAATATAAAAGATGAGGTTGCTTTCCGTACAGGAAAAAGGGCAGGAGCACAACAGTCTGATGTCAGGTGTGTGGATGGGAAGTGATGACTAAATGAGGATGTGTATATGTGGGGTGGTGAAAGGGGATGTTGAGCACTTACATGTGATGGGTTGTGTGCTGATGGGACACTGTTGGCGTGGTCGTGGAGTCACGTTTTGGGACTGGAAGGACGTCACAAGGTGTTGTCTTGGTCCTTGCGTGGAATCCCGGTCAAAAACCATAACATGTCAAGCCTCAAAATTGCGTGCACCCACAAAATCCAAAATTGCCCATAGGTAATGCTTTAAAACCCTTTACAGGTCATTGGTTTAGCGTTGACCATGAATAATGGCCCTAGAATTATAGCCCTCACTCTCCGGTCTACCTAATGTGTGTTGCAGTCGTTTTCATATGCAAGGTGTACCTGGGGCACATGTTTACATTTACGTGATTTTTTTACACCACCCCTCGTCTAATCAGAGAAAGCATAGTATTAATTGAGAGACATACTAGGCGTCCTCTAAATGGCCACTGAGCTAAGTGAGTGACCCAATGTGTTTTAACAGCACAAGGGAAGCCGCTCAAGACAGTGGCTGTTCCTATGGTCCGGAAGTCGCTGTAATGCACTGTACTAGGTGCAGCTTCTACAGTGTATTACATAGTCCCCAGGGCTCTACCAAGTATAATTTATATATACTTAAGCCAGGGGTGGGCAAAGTCCAGCCCTCCAGCTGCGGTGAGACTGCAAATCCCAGCATGCATCTGTCTCTGCAGCCATGCCTGTGAGAATCTTGCAGTGCCTCATGGGATTTGTAGTTCCACAACAGCTGGAGGGCTGGAGTTTGCCCACACCTATAGATTATCTGCAGATTTTCTATGGTCAGATGAAAAAAGTGCAACAGATTCCTCCATCTGCACTAAACTGTGTGGATGGAGGAATCTCCCACTGGGCCAAGGTTCAGTATCTTGCTAGTCAACCCTGCTGGCACTTGAACACTGATTGGATGCAGGCATTTTTCATGTATTTTGAGAGCGGGGCTGGCTAGCAAGATACTGAAGCTTGGCCCAGCGGGAGATTGCTCCATGCACACAGTTTAGCGTAGTTGGAGGAATCTGTTGCACTTTTTCCATTCTACCATAGAAAATCTGCAGATAATCTATAGGTGCAGG